TGAGTGGGATGGTGGCGGGAGGTTCCCTGCCACCTTTCTACCTCCATTCCAATTTAGTTTATGGTGGGAATACCGATGGATAGCTTTCCTGTCCCACTGCCAATGAGATCCTTAATTGAGCATTTAGTGCCCAATTAAGAGCCTCGTTGCACCACTAAATCAGTTGGACCTGAACATGATAAGCAAACCTGTATTGGTCACCTGTGTGGTCCTTCATTCTCCAGTACGGTCACTTTGCCGTATTGAGGGAACCAACGTCAGGGATAGGGAGGTTCACCAAGAACCACTCCATTACCCTTGCTGTTGACCAACCCGATACTGCCTCCCCAGTGACCCCCACACTGTGAATCTCCTACCATCACTCACCCAAATCCAGGAATCCAATGATGATCTGGTAGATGTGTGTCTCCTGCAAAAGCTAGATTCTTGCTGTCAGCATTGCTCAGAAAAAGACCTCCAAGCCTTTGACTGGCCAGCAGGGACTTCCATCCCTGGGTCTTCAATCCTGAGGAAATGTTGGCTGATGATCTCTCAACTGCCTGGTTGGGATGTACTGCGGGTGGGTTTGCCCAGGAAGAGGCAAGGCAGCCTTTTGCTGGCTCTCCAGTCTGTGGCCAAGACCTCTGTCACCTATATAAAATTCTTCCTCTAACTTTGTTTCCAGACTAGGTGATACCTGACCCCAGGCTGATTGTTGCTGCCATAGAGTGAGTATGTCCAAAGGTATTCCACTCCCATTATTGCATCCCTCATTCTTCAAAATCCAAGGAAAATGTACCAAAATCATTTAAACCACTTTTTGTTTTGGTTAATTTTGTCTATGGTAAAGCCAAAGAGTTCAACGGCCATTTTGGTGCAAATCAATGGTGATTTGCAACCTATCTTTCTAATAGCATTGGCAAGATAATATTGAACTTATTGAAACAGTAATGGTACTTTGCAAAAGAAAATGGTGTATTTTCTTATAGGCAGTAACTTGATAGTTCACAACCTCAATATTGCTCGAAAAAGACCAATTTGTTAAAGTTTATTGTCTTGCGCTCATCAGGATAATTCACAAAAAAACCAATTCAAGGGAACAACATTCAGACTACATGAGGGGAAAGTGCTGATTGCTTGCCAAGTAGACTCTGATTGGTAGTGGCATTGCCATAGATAATGCATCCGTTAATGTTGACTGACAATTAACTGTCATACTTAAATTTTAAAAGAAATACTTTGATTCTGATTGGTCAGGGCATTGCGTGTAGGGCGACTTTTTTTCTGTTGGCAGAGAACACTAATACGTATAGTTTCCAGTACGTACAGGTGTACTACATTATAAGCCAGACTGATGATCCTAAATTGGTTGTCAGCGTAATTCTTTTCACACTAAGGATTATCCAGCAAATGTTTCTAATTGCAGAATTATATCTGATGTTGAACATTGTATTCCGAATTTTACAAGTGTGGGCTCATTGGGTGTTGTCAGCCCCTTGCTTTTTGTTAACAGCTGAAGGGATATGCTAAATAAAAACCAAAAGAACTGTGGATGCTGTAAATCAGGAACAAAAACAAAGTTGCTGGAAAAGCTCAGCAGGTCTGGCAGCATCTGTGGAGGAGAAAACAGAGTTAA